CTCATTTAGTGGCCAGGGCTCGATATGTGGATGATGTGCTCTGGCTCAGTCGAGCCCTATGCGAGGGCTGCCTACGGGATGGGATACGCCATGTTTATGCAGTGCCGTTTGAAGTGGAAGGACCTGTTCAGGGGGCTCTGTCATGGCTTGATTTTCGCATTGAGCTGAAACCGTTGCGGTGGACTGCTAAGAGGAAAGAATTCATCGCTCTCCCCCCGTGGGCGGTGCAGAAACAGTATGCCTTCGGCATCTTGCTTGGCCGTGTATCGCGATGGAGTGAAATGGGACTCGGTCCAGCGGAAACCTCCGAAGCTCTGCTAGCTCTCTTCGTTGATTTCTACAAGCATGGCTGGTCGAAGAAAGCGTTGAGGAAAGCAGTATACAGAGTTGCCCAGCGGTGCAGCGCAAGAGACAAGTCCCTCATGCTCCGCACATTTCATTGGAGTTTTTGTGTACTTTCTCCTTAATGTGCCCTGGGCTCAAATTGGGGTGTAGGTTTTGGGGTTTGTTAGCATAGCTCTTTGAACTCAGTGAAGCATGGCGTGGAGACAGTTCCTGCTCGGGACGGCCTTGCTCTACCACTTGTGGGTGGCTGATGCTGGGGGTGGAGGCCATGGTCGTGGTCCTCATCCTCGTGATCGTGAGCGACAAGCCTTGCCACGTTACCCTCAGACTCCTGCGCAGACAGTTCGCCTGGAAGTCGCTGTTGTTGGTGATGGGCGCTCGTCATCCTTCAACAATGGGTATGGCCGTGAAAGGGATGAAGGGGCGAATGGTCGTCACCGTGATCGCTCCCGTGGCCGTGGCAAGCGTCGACATGGCTTTCGTGACTCGCACAGCCCTAGTCCCCGCAGGCACCGCAAAAGCAAAAGCCCTGGCCTCAAGAAGAAAAAGAAGACCAAGAGACGCAAGTCAAGCTCTTCCAGCTCTTCTTCTTCGTCTTCCCCTGCTGGAAAGGCCTCCAGAGCAGATCGGAAAACGGAGGCTAAACAAGCTGAAGATCGGTTGATGGCTGAAATGCAAAAGATGCGAGCTGAGCTGGCCCGCAAAACTGCAGAGCCGTCCACACCGAAGAGGCGCTCAACACGGCATCCGGAAGTGCAGTGGACTCCCAAGATACATGCCCACTTACAGTCTTTGTGCGCGTTCATGTGTAATGGGGAGAAGATACACCTCGTGGATGCCTCGAGAGTCCACGGATGGGAAGATATTCAGGAGCAGTTGCAGGCCCACTCTGCACCGACTCTCAAGAAGTACTTGGCTACAAAGGTTCCTGCGTCAGAGGTGCCCCGCACCAAGCCAGCGATTATTGCAGCAATTGTGGCCCTAGTGTCAGAAGCAGTGCGGGTCTGAGACACTAAGAGCAAGTTGCTGCCTGTCCCCGGGGACCTGCGACCACAGCATGTCTTGATCGTCGGGTCTGCAGTGAGCCTCCTGGGCATAATCTTCTGCGGCTTGGTTCTTCGTGGGTTGAAGCCTGAGTCGATTTGCCCGGCTCCTTTCGCGAGCACGTGCAGATGGCTCGATGCCTACTACACCTTGACAGTCAGGGAGATTCGCATCACTGAGACAGTAGACATGATTTTTGGTTCACAGATCCTGCCCCAAACACA